GGTAGAGAATCTTTTGTTTTTTTTTCCCTGTCGTCGGCCACACGGTCAACGGTACCCAAATTCTCGACAAAAGAGCAGTTTTCACTATCTCTGGGTCTCAAGAGGGCACGGAGAGTTGCGGACGGTTCAACCCTGGACCGCACTCATCCTCCTGCATACTCCGCTTGCACGGTATCTGAGTGCCTGGCTAGCGCTACCTGGCCCGTCTCGCTGGCTTCTGCGGACCATCAGCCTCGGCCATCAGCCATCAGCTGCGTGCGGAGATCGCAGTCCTACTGGTGAAGGATGCGATAGAGCCGGACCCTCCAGCCGATATGAGTACAGGGTTTTACAGCCCCTACTTCATTGTACCCAAGAAAGGTGGTGGGTTACGGCCAATCTTGGACCTGCATGTCTTGAACCGGGCCCTGCACCGTTTACCGTTCAAGATGTTGATGCAGAAACGCATTTTCGGGTGCATCCGTCCCCGAGATTGGTTTGCAGCGATCGCCTGAAGGACGCGTACTTTCATGTGTCGATCCTTCCGCGCCACAGACCATTTCATGTCATGCATTCCAGTACAAGGTCCTGCCCTTCGGGCTGTCCCTGTCTCCCCGTGTCTTCACGAAAGTCGCTTGTTCCCCTCAGAGAGCAGGGTGTTTGCATCCTCAACTATCTCAACAATTGGTTTATACTAGCACAGTCTTGGGTTCAGTTGTGCGAGCACAGGGATCTGGTGCTTCGGCACCTCAGCCAGTTTGATCTTCGGGTCAACTGGGAAAAGAGCAAACTCTTCCCGACGCAGAGGATCTCTTTTCTCGGGATGGAGTTAAATTCGGTCGAACAGACAGCACGCCTCACAAAGGAACGTGCGGGGTCGGTGCTGACCTGCTTGAATTAATTCAAGGGCAGGACAGCGGTCCCACTGAAACTATTTCAGAGGCTCCTGGGGCATATGGCAGCTGCAGCGGAAGTTACGCCGCTGGGGCTGCTTCATATGAGACCACTGGCTTGATGGCCGAGTCCCGAGGTGGGCGTGGCAGCGCGGCACTCACCGGGTCCAAGTTACACCAGCCTGTCACCAAACCTTCACCCCGTGGTCAGACCTTACGTTCTTCCGGGCAAGAGTGCCCCTAGAACAGGTCTCCAGGCATGCTGTGGTTTACACGGATGCCTCCACCACCAGCTGGGGGGCCACGTACAATGGGCACACAGTGTCAGGGTTTGGACGGGCCCCCATCTGCATTGGCATATCAATTGCCTAGAGTTGTTAGCAGTGCACCTTGTCTTGAAACATCTCAAAGGGCGCTTACGGGGCAAACACGTACTGGTCCGAACGGACAACAAAGCGACCGTTGCGTACATCAACAGACAAGGTGGTCTGCGCTCCCGTCGCATGTCGCAACTCACCCGCCACCTCCTCCTTTTGAGTCGGAAGGTTCTGAGGTCACTTCGTGCCATTCACATTCCGGGTCTGCTCAACCGTACGGCCAACGAGCTGTCACGAGCTACGCTCCCGGGAGAATGGAGACTCCATCCCCAGATGGTCCAGCTGATTTGGAGATGTTTCGGAGCCACTCAGGTAGACCTGTTTGCCTCTCCAGAAACCTCTCACTGCCAGTTGTTCTACTCCAGAGTGAACTCTTGGCACGGACGCACTGGCACACAGCTGGCCGCGGGGCCTGCGCAAGTATGCATTTCCCCCAGTGAGCCTTCTCGCACAGACGCTGTGAAAGGTCAGGGAGGACGAGGAGCAGGTCCTGGTTGTGGCGCCGTATTGGTCCACTCGGACCTGGTTCTCCGAACTAATGCTCCTCGCGACAGTCCCTCCCTGGCAGATTCCTCTGAGGAATGATCTACTGACTCAGAGACGGGGCACCCTGTTGCACCCGCGTCCAGACCTCTGGAAACTTCATGTCTGGTCCCTGGACGGGACGCGGAGGTTCTAGGTGACCTACCCCAAGAGGTAGTTGACACCATCACTTCAGCAAGAGCTCCGTCTACGAGCCACGCTTACGCCTTGAAGTGGAACCTGTTCGCTGTGTCTGGCCGACATGAGGGATGCCGACAAGGTTCGGTTCCTTAATGTCCCTGTGTCCCAGACCGGCCTCTTCGGCAACGTGGTAGAGAGCTTTGCCCAGCAGTTCTCGGCTGCACAGAAGCAGACTGAGGCGATCCAACACATCCTGCCCCGGCAGGCATCTGCTGCCTCCACCCGCCCGCAGGGCGCAATGGCCCAGCATGCTCGTCACCGTGGGCATTTCTGCATCTGCCCCCGCGCAGCCCATCCAGGCCCCCGCCAAACCTGGCGGCAAGCGGAAGAGCAAGCGGCCCTGAGACGGGCGACCCAGAGATGGAGGGATCTGCTTTTCAGGAGATGGTGAACGCACCACTCCCTCCCCTGGAGGAGGGCCGGGTAGAGAATCTTTTGTTTTGTTTTTCCCTGTCGTCGGCCACACGGTCAACGGTACCCAAATTCTCGACAAAAGAGCAGTTTTCACTATCTCTGGGTCTCAAGAGGGCACGGAGAGTTGCGGACGGTTCAACCCCGGACCGCACTCATCCTCCTGCATACTCCGCTTGCACGGTATCTGAGTGCCTGGCTAGCGCTACCTGGCCCGTCTCGCTGGCTTCTGCGGACCATCAGCCTCGGCTATGCGATTCAGTTCGCCCAGCGTCCCCCCAAGTTCAGGGGCATCCGCTTCACGACAGTGAAGGCGGCCGATGCTCCTGTCTTGCGTGCGGAGATCGCAGTCCTACTGGTGAAGGATGCGATAGAGCCGGACCCTCCAGCCGATATGAGTACAGGGTTTTACAGCCCCTACTTCATTGTACCCAAGAAAGGTGGTGGGTTACGGCCAATCTTGGACCTGCATGTCTTGAACCGGGCCCTGCACCGTTTACCGTTCAAGATGTTGATGCAGAAACGCATTTTCGGGTGCATCCGTCCCCGAGATTGGTTTGCAGCGATCGCCTGAAGGACGCGTACTTTCATGTGTCGATCCTTCCGCGCCACAGACCATTTCATGTCGTGCATTCCAGTACAAGGTCCTGCCCTTCGGGCTGTCCCTGTCTCCCCGTGTCTTCACGAAAGTCGCTTGTTCCCCTCAGAGAGCAGGGTGTTTGCATCCTCAACTATCTCAACAATTGGTTTATACTAGCACAGTCTTGGGTTCAGTTGTGCGAGCACAGGGATCTGGTGCTTCGGCACCTCAGCCAGTTTGATCTTCGGGTCAACTGGGAAAAGAGCAAACTCTTCCCGACGCAGAGGATCTCTTTTCTCGGTATGGAGTTAAATTCGGTCGAACAGACAGCACGCCTCACAAAGGAACGTGCGCGGTCGGTGCTGACCTGCTTGAATTCGTTCAAGGGCAGGACAGCGGTCCCACTGAAACTATTTCAGAGGCTCCTGGGGCATATGGCAGCTGCAGCGGAAGTTACGCCGCTGGGGCTGCTTCATATGAGACCACTGGCTTGATGGCCGAGTCCCGAGGTGGGCGTGGCAGCGCGGCACTCACCGGGTCCAAGTTACACCAGCCTGTCACCAAACCTTCACCCCGTGGTCAGACCTTACGTTCTTCCGGGCAAGAGTGCCCCTAGAACAGGTCTCCAGGCATGCTGTGGTTTACACGGATGCCTCCACCACCAGCTGGGGGGCCACGTACAATGGGCACACAGTGTCAGGGTTTGGACGGGCCCCCATCTGCATTGGCATATCAATTGCCTAGAGTTGTTAACAGTGCGCCTTGTCTTGAAACATCTCAAAGGGCGCTTACGGGGCAAAGGGAACGAGGGTTGCATACATAACCGAGACATTACTCTGGTCAGTCCTGCTATGACGTCAATCCTATTGCTGTCATTAATTTTTTTTTTTAATTGTATGATATTTTGATATTTGATATGGCCTTCCAGGTTTTTCCATTGTAACTATATTGTATTTTTGACAAAGCCCTTTTTTTAATCTCTCTTGTAAAAATAGATATTTTTTCTTAATTGACATGCAATCACCCTCCAAAATTAGGATGTTCTTGGTCATCTGAAAAGAGGTGAAAAAAGGGACTAAAATACTGCTCATATATGTACAAACTATTACACAGTTCTAATGAAAACTATAGTATATAGTAAGGCTTGTGTCTGTAACAGGGATGACACAAATATCAAAATAAGTCATAAAATAAGAAATTACATAGCCTGAGATGGCACAATTAAATTTCTTATCCTCTTAAGCTGTCTTTATTTCATGGATATTTTTTTTAAATGTTGATTAAACTTATTTTATATTTTTTCAAGTTGATAAGGCAGCGATTTCGCGGAATGACCCTTAAATTAGTCCTGCAAAAGTTTAACCTTATCCTTAGACTTACCAAAATAGAAGCATGTTTCTTGATTGGGCTGAAAGAATTTCCCACAGGCCTTAGCATGGACATCAGCCCCTTTTTTAACCAGCATCTGTACAAAGTTTGCACTCCTCTGTTCAATTGCAACATGGAGTGCTGTCTGACCTGCCTCAGATAGATCAGTCGATAACATTGCAAAATGAATAGGTTGGACATGTTAAATATGATCAATATTCTGTTGATTTATAAAAAATAAATTAATAATGTTAGCTAATATAAAACTAGATCTAATAACAATAATTACACTAATAAAAGCATTATGTAAAATGAAGCTGTCTCTGACCTTTGTAGTAACTGTCTGTGTAGGCAGCATTGACAAAATCTTTTAAATCTCCCGTTTTCTCTGCAATTTCCAGCAGATGTTCAATAGTGTCATTCTCACCTTCCTTCAAATTTAAAAGTGCTTTCAGCAGAGCTGTCTTTCCATTGGACTTATCTAAATAAGTTATAAAAACAGTTGTTTCATTATTTAATAAATATCTGTCATGAATTCACAGTACTCTTCTGTGCATTCTTTGTATACTATACCATTCAGAAGTTTGGGGTAAGTTTTTTTTTTCTCAAATAAATTAATATTTTATTCAGCAAGGGCACAATAAATTGATCAAAAGATATGCTTTTCTTAGTTTGCACAGTGAGTTTTAAATCAGCATATTGGAATGATTTCTGAAGGATCATGTGACACTGAAGACTGGAGAAATGGCTGCTGAAAATTCAGCTTTGCCATCACAGGAATAAATAACATTTTAAAATATACAGAGCAGTTATTTTAAATTGTAATAATAATTCACAATATTAGTGTTTTTACTGTATTTTTGTTCAAATAAATGCAGCCTTGGTGAACA